GCTGCTCCCTGCCACCCTCCCCAAGTCTCTCAGTTTGACAGGACTCCTGTCAGAGGTGAGCTGTTTTCACACATGGGATACAGGCACAGTTTCTTTCATTTCTAGGCAACAGTGGTTCATCTAACTCCACGACGGAAACGAGGGGGAGACACGTTCTCTTTTGTGTAAAGGCAGGCCTTGGGGATTGGGGTGGAGGGGAGAAAGAACGATGTTTCAGGCCCAGCTGCGCAGTTGGTTCTGGGCTACTCAAGGTCCCCACCCAACCCCAGCCCCCTTCCCCCCCTTCAACTGGCCTATTGCCCAAACCCCATTGCATCACCTTGGCCTGGAGCCCCTGCCAGGCCTGGCCTCCCCGCACACTTCTTACCGCCACCCTAATGGCAGAGAGAAAGGGCAGGGCAGCAATGGGGGTCTCTTCCCTTGTGTTAAGGTATTCAGTTAGCTGGCTTTTAACTTTCCTCTTGCCTCCCCACTAACAAGAGCGTCATTTCCCTTTAAAACACTCCTCTAAAACATCTAGACACTCACATCCTGCACTCCTGCTCCCCGAGGTGTCTGACTGGCCCTCTGCCTGATCTTACAGCCCCTAAAGCCATCCTCTCAAACAGGACCCAGCCTTCTCCTCCCTTCCCCCTTCCCTTCTGCTCTTTCCCCAAGAGAACCCAGGTGTCCAGCTTGCGCTGCTCCCCCTCCCGTTTTCTCTTTAACATCCTCTCTTAGAGCAGGACGCTGAACCATTTGCCTCCCTGATGACCTCCCACCACAGCTGGGCCTTCAGCCTCCCAGCCCCTACCAGGGACAAACTTAGCCCCTCACCTGTGGCGGAAGAGAGAGAGCACCACAGTATTCTTCTCCCCCTCTCCTGCATCCCTTCTGCTGAGCACTGGGACAGCATCAAGGGACAGAGTTGAGCACCAGAGACTTTCCTGGGAGAGAGGGGAGGCTGGAGGCAATGCCTGGCTCCACCACTCACTGGATTTTTGTTCTGAAGCTGCAATGAGATCGGGTGTATGAGAGGGCCTAGTCCATAGAGGGCACCCTGCACCTGAGGCTTGGTTTTGACAGAGTAGCTGTTGCTATTTCTGGGCCTCCCCTCCCTGCCTGCTTAGTTCTTTGTCTTAAGTTTTTCTCTATTTCTTACTCGCTTTTAGTGCTTGCTTATAAATAGTGATAGTAATACTATCCCTTCACATTCCTTTTGCGCTTGCTTACATGTCTATTTTCCCCCTGGATCTTTAGAACAATCCTTGCATTGGGCAGAACAAGTCTTATGCACACACACACATAAGGAGGGAGAGAGAGAGAGAAGCTTTAGGAGTCCTAGAGATTTCAAACTGAAGTTCCTCTAGGGGCTGTTCAAAAGCAACCCATCATTTGATGAGTTTAGAATCCTAGGCCTGGAGAAAGGCAGTGACTTGGCCCAGGTGCAAGCTGGAAAGATGGTCTAGCCTCAACCCAGATCCTTGAACCCTTATCCCCCACCTGGTACAACCCCACAGAGGCAACACTTCCAATTTAGCCAGGCAGACATACCCTTTGAATGCACCGTTTGGCTTCCTGAACTATTGAAACTAGCCTCAGGATGCTCCACTACTGCCCTCTTGGATCCTCGTGAGGACCCAACTGCAGCAGGACTGGGAAAGCAGAAATTAGGAGTGGGACAATAAGGACAAGCTCTTACATGACCTTCCTGGCACCAGGTGCCTCGCTTGGAGAGAGCGTTGTTTATTGGCTTGATCTGCAGAAGCTGGGATGGAAGGGCCACTTAATCGTCTGGAATAAGTATGGGTGGCAGCCAGGGAAAAGGTGCCCTGGTGGCTCAGTGATTAAGTACTTAGCCACAAACCGAAAGGGCAGAGGTTCAAACCCTCTGAGCACTTTGTGAGAGAAGCTGCTGTCCTCCGGCTTGTTCAGGGCTGCTGGAGGACCTGGTCCACTTGCAGCTGCCCACCCCCACCTCGTCAGGCCACCAGAGTCAAACAGTAACTGTGTATTGAACGCAGACTTGGTTAATCAGAAACCTGGCTGAGGAGACACTGGAAAGGAGAGGACAGACCAACTGGCAGTGAGGTAGACCAGAACACAGGCCTGGGACCCAGGCGTCCTGGCTTCTAGCTTTTATGATAGGAAGGACCCTGAGAGCCTTTGGAAATATTACCTTACCTCTCTGAGACTTGGTTTTCTCATCTTAAAAATGGGGCATAAGGCTAGGTCAGCAGTTTTTTTGAGCTTTTTCTTAAAGCGGCATTTTTTTGTTGTTGCTATTATTAAAAGGTTTTTCCTTTTGTTTGTTTTTTAAAGGTTTTTCCTTTATTGAATTCAAATGCTATGAAAAGGCGTACAGTGAACAGAATAAGTTTTTAATGATATCTTAGGGCACTCTACATAGAACAGGTAAAGGAGATTGTTCTAGAAGAAGGCAGGAAGGTGTGTCAGGAACTTTACCAGCAAGTGGAACAGCCAGTAGATGCTGTCCCATGCCTTCCAGCTGTGGTCACTGGGGCCCCCAGAGAACAACTCCAGGGTTTCAGGGTTCTCAGGCCCCAGAATAAATGGTGCCAATTCTCTTCTGTTGGACCGCTTCCAACCCCCCACCCGCCACCCCAAGTTTATCTGCAAAACTGTATTAAGTAAGGGATAACGAATTCCTTTTTCCATTTTTTATTAACCAAAAAATATCTATAGCTGCCAATCAGAGCTTCTGACCAGCATGAGATAACCAGGTTCCCCACATGAGCTGATATAATTCCAGCCCAAAGCAAATACATTTGAGGTTTTAGTTAGCCTGAGCTCTCTTATCAGGTAGATGCATGATTTCCGTTAGGCTCTCTGAAAAATTAAAAATAGCCTGAGGACCCTCCCCTGTTACCTTCTTAGATCCTCGTGAGGGCCCAACTGCAGGGGGCTGGGGAAGCAGACACTAGGAGTGGGGCACTAAGGGCAAGCTCTCTGGTATGGCCTGTCTGGCCCCTGGTGCCTCCCTTGGGGAGAGCACTGTTTATATGGATTGACCTGGGATAGCTGGGATGGAAGGGCCACTTGATCCTCAGGAAGAAGCATGGGTGGCAGCCAGGGAAAAGGCGCCCTGGCATCTCGGTGGTTAAGTGCTCAGCTGATAACTGAAAGGGCAGAGGTTCAAACCCACCTGCCGCTTCGTCTTGGAAAACGTTCATCCAGAGTGCTCCTTGGAGGCAAGGATGGTGAGACATGTCACGTACTTTGGACATGTTACCAGGTGGGAACCTGGAAAAGTCAAGAGTCATCAAAAAAGAGGACGTCCTTCCGTGAGATGGCGGGGTACGGTGACTACAATAGGGAGCTCGAACAGCCTGAGGATGAGGATGAAGCAGGACCAGGCAGTGGTTCCTTCTGTTGCCTGTCATATTGCTCTCAGTTGGAACTGGCTTGAAGTCGTCTAAAAAGCAACAAGCCGCCTTGTGGGGAAAGATGTCCCTACGAAGCAGTTCTCTGTCCGATCAGGTTGCTACGAATCACTTGACGGCAATGGAGGGTTTGTTGGTTAGTTGGTTGGTTTTAGGTGGTCAGGGGCAGGACTGGCGCTGAGACTGTGGCCCTGCCTGTATGTAAGGCCTCTGCCCCTTCACAAAGCTTGAATGGATGTGCCCCTGAGCTGGGCCTTGTGGGCTTGACACACTTGGTAAGGCCTAATCTCTTGCCTTCCAATCCTGCCATCATACTCCAAGCTCCCTCCTCAGGCCCCTTTAGAAGTCTTCAGGCCTAGCTCCACCCGCAGAGGAATTGGGACTGGGGGAGGATCCCTTAGGCCCGCCCCTGTGCTCTCCAGAAAGGAGCTTCTCAGAGCTTCTGAGATAACCTGGTTCAACTTCTTCACTCAGTGGGAAAGGGTATCGCCCCAGAGCACACTGAGCTAGTCGGAACCAGGACTCCTGGCTCCTGGCCCAGGACTCTTCCCTGCCGCTGCTGCCACAGCTCCTCCGGTCTAGGGCAGGTCAGTGGCCCTTCCAGCTTTCTGGAGTCTGAGGGACCAGCCAAGTTCCCTGGAGCTGTTCTCAGGAAGGGTGGTCCCTTCTTTCTGTGCTCAAAGCGGGGACAATGCAAACTCTCCTCCTCTCCCCACAACCAGTCTCACCTAATGGGCAGCCGGCCAGGTCCTCTAGGAGCAGAGTGGCCAGCTCTCACCCTACCCCCGCCCCCAACTGAGAGGGGTGGGGCCCAGTTGGGGGGGAGACAAATGGTGAGTGGGAGACAAACGGAGAAGTGAGAGGTTGGAAACTGACAGGAAGCTACAGGCAGTAAACATTTCCTGTCCCCAGCGTAACCAAGGTTGGTACCCCACCCCCCATCACTCCAGGAGCTCTCTTCTGCCCACCCCCACCTGGTTCCCCACTTGGCTCTACCTTCCCCCTCAGGCATCCCCTGACCCTCCTGCAACAACAGCCCAGGAGCAGGCAGCATTCAGGTCTGCGGTGCATGAGGTCGCCATCAATGAGGCCACCTGGATCCCACCCTTCCCGTCCCTCTCCCATTCGGCGTATCTGGTCCACTTTGAAGATACTCCTACCTTAAAGGGCCTCTACCACAGTTCCAGTTTCCTAGTGAGAGAAGCTGCGAAAGGTGTTCCCAAACACCAGGCAAATGGTGATCGTGAAGGCTGAGAGGACACCGAGATCATTAGAGATGGACAAGTCCAAGATCAGAGTGAGAAGGAGAGTCAACCCCAAAGCTGGAAGCAACGGAGGGGGCAGAGGGACAGAGGAATGAAGCAGCAGAGGCAGATACAGCCGGCGGCAAGGACCAAGGCTACCAGGGACAGTGGTCCAAGGGCCAGGTTCAATTGCCCAGACTGCCAGGCGCAGTCCTCCTGGGAGGGCCGGAAGGACAAAGCCTAGCAGATGAGAGCTGGCTGGAGGCTCTGGAACCAAGGGGCTAGGGATGGGGCCAGGGACGGTGACTGGCAGATTGTCCAGGACCTTAGTTATGAAGGCTCCCATCCCACTATGAAGGATCCCATCAGAGACGACCTCTCCGCGTGTCTCAGGAGCAACAGAAGGACCACGTATGGAGCTAGGGCACCAGACAAGTGGATCTGGATTCAGACTCCTGGGTACGATGTGTGAGAGGCTGAGCCAAAGACCAGCCACACTGGGGAGGTCCAAAGCGGGGTCTCTAGAGAGGGCAGGCCCAGGCCCAGGGGAATGAGCGTTTTCCACCAGTCCTCCACTCCTCTCACTTCTCGGCTGCCTGATTTCCAAGACTCACATTTTCCTCCCACACACCCAGGGCTGGGCAGCCCTACGCCTGGCTGGGTGGTGGCTCAGGGAAGGGCTTTGCCTGGGTATAAGCCTGCTAGGTGAGAGGCCACCGGAATATCTAATCTAAAGAGAGACGTGGGGAGCAGAAGAAACTGGGGTCCAGGCCCTCTGCTCCCTCTTCTTAGGAAATTGACTCAATTTCTTTTCATTGCTGGGGGAGAGGGGAGAGAAGAGAGAACGGCCGGCCGGGGAGGAGAGGGAGGGAGGGGGAGTGTTAGTGACAGCGGCACATGGGGACCGCCTGACTCCAGCCTGTGCCTCTGGCATCTGTGGCATCTTCTGAGATATAAATACAACCAGGGGGCACCTACCCCACCCCACCCCCAGGCAGCCCTGGCCTAGCGGCCCCAGACTAGATCCTCCTTTGCTTCCGGGGAACTTGGGGCAACACGAACAGCCTCTCCTTTTCCCTCCACAGGGTCAGCGTGCTGGTGGGCGCGCCCAAGGCCAACACTAGCCAACCTGGAGTGCTGCAGGGGGGAGCTGTCTACCTCTGCCCCTGGGGCACCAGCGCCTCACTGCAGTGCACCCCCATTGAGTTTGACAGCAAAGGTAACCAGCCCTTTGATAGACTCAGGAGGATAGGGAGGAAAGAGTCGCGCCCCCCCCCTACTAACATGGGGGCGGGACCTGTGTGGTGCGTGGAGAGAGGGGTGGAGCCTGCCCAGCACCCCAGTGGCCACGTGCCCTGGGTACGGTTCTCTTGCCCCCTCAGGATCTCGCACCAAGTTCCCAGTTCAGCCCAGCCCAAGGAGGGCGGGCATGATTCACAAACATGTGGCTCTCATTTCCCCTGAATCACCCACAGCTCAGGAGGCCCGGGCCAACAGCACAGACAAAGACAGGGAGAGTCACTCAGACCATTCCATTCATTTAACTAAGCCCTGACTTAAGTAACGGTGTGCGAGATGGGTGTGCGAGATGGGCTCAGCGCCTCCGCCGCCGCTGGTGCTGCAGGGGATTTAAAGATGATGAGGCTGCCACTCCCAAGGAGCTCAGGGTCTGGATTAAATGCAAAGTAGATGGGAAGGAAGCAGACTAGACTCTAGTCACCAGAGCAGTGGTTCTCAAACTGTGGGCTGCGACCCCTTTGGGGGTCCAACGACCCTTTCACAGGGGTCGCCTAAGACCATAGGAAAACACGTATTTCTGATGGTCTTAGGAACCAAGACACGGCTCCTCTGTCTCCAGGCAAGTCTGCCTACATGCAGATCCGCCCACATATGAGCACCCGGTGTCTAGACTGTGACCCATGCTATACCATGCTTCCACACAACATTTCATTTATTTGTCATTAGAAATAGTTCACAATCTAGAATGACATATTGTTTTTGTGATTCATCACTATGCTTTAATGAAGTTCAATCTGTAACAATGAAAATACATCCTGCCTATCAGATATTTGCATTCAGAGTCATAACAGTAGCAAAATTAGAGTGATGAAGTAGCAACGAAAATAGTTTTATGGTTGGGGGTCCCCACCACATGAGGAACTGTCTGAAAGGGTCGTGGCAGCGTTAGGAAGGTTGAGAACCACTGCCCTAGAGGAACCTACTGCAGGACCCCGGGGAGCATAGGGCTACACCTTGCGCTGCTGACGGCAAGATCAGAAGTGTGAACGACCCCACCAGCCGCTCTGTAGCAGAAAGTCGAGGCTTTCCACTCCCATAGTTACGCTCTCGGAAGCCTCCAGGGGCAGTTCTACCCTGTCCTAGGTCACTATGAGACAGGGACAGGTCTGTCCTGTCCTGTAGGGTCACTATGAGTCAAAATTGACTCGTGGCAGTGAGTTTGTTTGTTTGTTTGTTTGTTTGTTTACCCTCCCAGAGCACATACTGTGCCCCAGACCCTGTCATCAACTCTTTACATGCATCAACTCACTTGAAAGGATTCTTTCAACCACCCTATGAGGTGTTACTAAGGAACGCTAGTGATAAAGCCCTGGTGGTGTAGTGATTACCTGTCGTGCTGTGATCCACATGGCCAGCAGTTCAAAGCCACCAGCAGCTTCTCAGGAGAAAGACTGGACTTTCTACTCCCTTAAACAGTTACCACCTTGGAGACCCACAGGGGGGGCGCTCTGAGTCAGCATTGACCCGAGTGAGTTTGAGTAATTTTGGACGTGTCAGGAGAGACCAGTCCCTGGTGAAGGACTTCATGTTTGGTAAAGAAGAGGGGCAGCGAAGGAAGGAAGGCTCCCAGTGAGATGGACTGACACCGCAGCTCAAGCTAGGGTGGTGCAGGACTGGGCAGTGTCTTATTCTGTCATGCATAAGGTCGCTCTGGGTCGGAACCGACTCCATGGCTCCTAAGAACCACAAGTGGTGTCGTGGGTAAGCACTGGACTGCTTCACCTACCACCCACACTGTGGACGAAAGATGAGGCGGCCGGCTCTGGTGAAGATGCACAATCTCGGGCACGAAGGGGCAGCGCCACTCTACGGCAAGAAGCTTCGTGTAGATTCAGTCTTTGAGGTGTGATCTTCGCTTTGGAGGTGAGGAAACAGAGAGGTGAAGCACCTGGCCCACAATCACACAGCTAGTCAATGATGGGGCCGGGGTGTGAACGCAAGCAGTCTGGCTACAGAGAGAAAGACAGGAGCGCGGACACAGGGGCAGACAGAGATAGAGATGAAAGAGAGCGACCATGGGGAGGATGGAAAAATGCAAAGGAGGAGGAGGAAGGCTGTCAGGTGGAGAGTAGAGGCAGGGCTTGGAAAGAGGCAGAGAGAACAGAGAGACATAAGGAACTGAGATGTCAAGAAAAGAAGTGGAGTAAGACGCTGTTAGAGAGATGGATGCGGCCAGAGAAGTTTGGTCTCTTGGGAAATAGCCAAGCAGTGCTGCCAGCCAGCCTCCTGACCCACTCTTCTCCAGGAGCATCCAGGGTCCAGCTGAGGTGACAGGAGGGGGGGAGTGTTGAGGAGGGGGGAAGCAGCGCTAGAACCTCCACATTCTGTGTGTGTGTGTGTATGTGTGTGTGTGTGTACACACACGCAGGGGAGTGGTAAGTTAGACTGTGCAAAATGATCCTTCTCCACCCCTCTCCCATTGAGTCATGACACCCCAGGGTTTGGACGTGCCTGGAATCCCCAGGCTGGGGAGGGTGGTGGGGGGTGTGTGCAGGGGCAGGACCCTCCTGGGAAAGAGGGTGAGGCTGCCCTGGGCCCCGCAAGACTTCCCCTCTCTCATGTGCCCAAGGCTCTCGGATCCTGGAGGCGTCCGTGTCCCGCCCAGAGGGAAAGGAGCCGGTGGAATACAAGTCCTTGCAATGGTTTGGGGCGACCATTCGAGCGCACGGCTCTTCCATCTTGGTGAGGGGTGGGTGGGCTCTGTGGCCTTGGGGATGGGCAGTGGGTGGGTGAGGGGCCCAGTAACCCTGCAGCCCCTCCTTTCCGGCACCCCCAGGCCTGTGCTCCACTCTACAGCTGGCGCACGGAGAAGGACCCCCTGAGGGACCCCGTGGGCACCTGCTACCTCTCCACAGACAACTTCACCCGCATTCTGGAGTACGCGCCGTGCCGCTCGGGTAGGGACAAGAAGGGCCTGTGTCCGCGTCAGCTTTCTCTACTTCTCCGTGTGTTCCAGGCTGTCTGCCTGCTCCCCATTAGCCTTCATGCTCACTGGCTTGTCTAGGGAGGGCCCGCTCTCTGGTTCTCTCCCTCACCCCTTTTCTGTCCGACCCCCCCATCCAGGCCCACCCTCATCACCTTCTCCCCTCACAGATTTCAGCTTGGCAGCAGGGCAGGGTTA